AATGCTGCAGAAGTATGGAAAGATAAATTTTGAGACTCTTCATCAAATTAAGCAAAAAAGGAAATTACTGACCTTCAGAAGAAAACATTTCTGGTGGAAAACCAGTGACAGAAGCTAACGTGAGCGAGCTAAGGAGTAAAAGGCAAAGGCAATGGAGATAATATGTAAAGGTAACTATTTCAAGAAGTTGGCTATAAAGCAAAGGATACAGAGAAGCTGGCACCTAAAATTCTTTTAAAGATGGAAATAATTTTAGCATGTTTATATTGGTTTACATGACCAATAGAAGCTGGAAGAGAAATTAAAGATGCAAGAAGAGATGGGGAAAATCAAATAAATAATGTCCTTAAGAAGCTAGAGATCCAGAATGTAGCTGGAAGGTGAGCCTTACACAGGAGAAGTGATAACCTCTTCCGTTGTAACAGGGGTCAAAAAACAAATTAGCATGAAAACAGATAAATTTGTACATTTGAGTGTGAAAATTTAATTCTGAAAGTGTGTTCAAACCTGATGGATTACATTTTCTCTGTAAATTAAGAACCAAGAGCATTTCTAAGCATGACAGAGAAAAAAGAGATAAAGTTTTGCAAAGAACTTAAGGAAAGTTGTCAAGCAGTGTTCAGGGCCCAACTGAGTTTGGAGAATACTTTCACAGTTGTATGGTTTTTTACCTGGGGATTTGACAGCTGAAGTGTAAGAAAAGATCAAGTGGACAGTTACATGAATTGCTTTCTTCACCAAACCCATGTGATGGTCGGACAACGGGTCAAGGGAATTAAGGAGAACGGTTGTATCAATGGACTATTGAACCTAAGCTGGATAGGCAAAGGGGTGAAGATCAGGGCTTAGAGCACTTTCTGTGTTTGAATAGATTATGTATGGTCTGAGTAACTGAGTGATGCTGCTAGAAGAATAGGAAGATATGATCAGAAAGTAAGATATTTGAGAACTGAGGTTTTTACAAGTTGAGTAGTTATGAAAGATAAGATCTACAGTAGAGCCACTGGAGTTAGTAGCTAATGAACAATACAAGAAAATATCATTAGGAATGAGAAGATTAAGGGACTAAGAGGTTAAGGTGTTGGTCTATGTCATGTATGTACAGATAAATTAATTCAAAGTGATAATAAAACTTGGAATATAATGGAAGACCATGAATTAGGTGCCACAGATTCAGTAACTGATGGAGATAGTATGGAATGATAGAGAAGCCAGAAAAATGGCATGACCTGTTCAAAGGAACAAGGGTTTTTACACAAGAGCAATGGGGAATAAAGAGAACACCAACCTTACTAGCCAACCTGTAAGACATGGCATGGGACTATGGGAGAATGAAGAGAATCCACATCAGAGAGCTGCAGTGTGAACGGTATCTTCAGGAAAGAGAAAGCTTTCCAGAAAGGGAGTAGAAGCAGCACATGGCTGAAATGATTAAGAATATAGGAAAGCTTGTTTATCACTAAGTGGGGTTCAAGATGGCACAGTCAATACATTTGGAAGGGAAGACAGTGGTGAGAAGCTGGATCACAAGAGAAGCAGAGTACTACATGGAGATGAATATGACAGAAGAAGTGACTTAAGCAGCTTACGTGTTGAATAATGGTTAAGATTAACTGGGATGCATATAAAGCAAGGTGGGGGGGGTGGCTGTATAAACAGGTAAGTAGTACTACAGGAAAGAATGGAAAGAATAAGATATGGAATATAGTTGGGAACAAATAATTATGCCTGGGAAAGTCAGAAACCTTCAGAGAGGTGATGCTTGACAACGGGATCACAGCTCAGATATCATTTATTTATATCCCTTGTCTAGTGAATAAATGCCTAAAAAAAAAAAATCAGGAATTTTTAGGTACATTTCAAACTTTACACTGACTCAAAATGTGTTTTTAATAATCAAGGTTTACCCATACTTTAACTTTTTTATACGTAAGTGAAAAAAATGAAGTTAACACAAAGATCAATTATTGCCTGTACATTCGTCTAAGCAGAAAAATTTAAGTATAATAAAACCTCAGGAATTTAAGGCAATTTAAATGCCCTCCCTACTCCCAAATATACATTTCTACATTTTCTAGAAATGTAGCTTTATTAAGAATGTTATTCATTAATAAAGCAAATACAAAAACTTAAGCTTTGGGAGTGACAAAATTCCTATCTTGGTGGTTTCACTGTTACAGACATTTGTCACAGCTCATCAAATTATACACTTTAAATGGGTACAGCTTATTGTAAGTAAATTATGCTTAAATAAATCTGATATCAAAGAACTAAAAAAACAACATTTAAGGTAAAAGGCACAGATAAATTGGTAGCTGCTATTTATTATCATAAAGAAAATCAAGATTCAAAAAAGGAAATCAGTGATATATTTAATCTAGAAATGTCCCGATACCCTAAAACAGTCACTTATTACACATAAACAACTTTTTAGATGTATATAACATTGCACTAATATAGGAACAGTCAACTGAAGTTTGTACTAAAAATTCAATATACAATATAATAAAGTTTCCATGAAGTTTGTATTTTATAATACAACAAACTAAATTATTTAACATCTATTTGTACAACAAATGAACAGTTACTGCACATTAAATACTGTGTTAACTGCTAAGGACACAAGAGTGAAGGATAGGTATTAGTTACTGGCTCCCTAATGAAATACACTGAATGAATCTTTAGTTTATTGGTTCTCTAGTTTAACCTCTGCTATGGACTGAATTGTATCCCCTCAAAATTCTTATGGTGAGCTCCTAACCCTCAATGTGATTGCACTTGGACATGGAGCCTTCCGGGAGGTAATTAGGGTTAGATGAGATCATGAGGGTGGGTCCCTCTTAACAGGATTAGTGGCTTTATAACAAGAGAAAGAGGGATTGCTCACTAGCACACTTTCTCTCTCTCTCTTTCTCTCTCTCTCTGCCAAAGATACAGTGAGAAGGCAGCTATCTGAAATGCCAGGCAGAGGGCCCTTACCAGGAACTAAATTGGCTGGAACCTTGATCTTGGGCTTTCCAGCCTCTAAAACTGGGACCAATAAATGTCTATTGTTTGAGCCACCCATTCTGTGATACTCAGTTATAGCAGTCAAGGAGACTAATACAACCTCTTTCTTTTACAGTAGGTTTTTCCTTTAAGATCTTGAAAATGTGGGGAAATAACAGATACCGGTTTAAAATGCCATGTGAGATTTTGCAAACTCTAAAATGAATAAATGATTTTTGAATTTTTTATATAAAACATTCCTGAAATGTTTTCTACGTAATTCTTATAAGACAGTATGGAGAAATGTTTATTCTAAGACCGTATCAGTAATCAAATTTGGCTTAATTTACAGCTACTAGTAATTAACCTAAATTTAACTAACTGAACAGCACTAAAATACCTCTCTGACAAAAATGTGATAAACATATATTAACAGTATTACTATAATATAATAAAGAAACAAGATGGTCTTATCAAGATGAAATGTAATAATTTCACATACACTAAAATGTTAAAAAGTATATACTCACATGCCAAGCCCCACCAGGTGGACCTTTACCAAGAACTAAGTGAGGGATATAATGATGTTGTTCTAATTTCCAATGCAAAACAGATGGATAATCATATCCAAAGTCAGCATCTGGATGAAGAAGTGTGTCAAAAAGTACTGCAACTGGATTGGAGGATCGGCCCTCAAGGCCCTCAGACAAGTATTCTAAGTCCTGAATGAAAAAAAAAAGGAGATAAAGTTTTAAAAAAGCCAAAACAGCAATCATAATAATAGTGAAGGTCATTACTCTAATACAGCATGTCACAGATATCCTGGCTATAAAATATAAAACACTGATGTTCCTTGAAATCTTAATAGATTCTTTGGTCAAATAAATAACAGGAAAAGGCTGTGTTTCAATAAAACTAACCAGATTCTTATACCACAAAACTTGAAGATGTCTTTAATGTGCTAATGTCTACCATGATACTCCAATAATAAAAAGTAGCACCTCCCAAATTTATTGTAGTAGAGAGCATCTACTAAAACTCCATGAGGAAATAATTTGGGAATTCTGCTCTAATAAATTCAAGAACATAAATAGGAGTAACTCAGCAGAATATATTTGTGAATCTAAAATAAAAAGGATAGAAGGTATTATTTCTGTCTAACTAAGAAACAATGCTTATATAAATAAAAGCTAATCTTGTTTTAGTAAAAATAAAAAATTTAAAGATTGACATGTAAGAAATAATACCTGATCAACAATGGAAAGATGTCTTGCTTCTTCTAATTTACTATGTAAGACTGTATTTGGGTGTATTGCTTCTGATGATAAATATGGTCTGTAGCCTGATAACATATAAGAAAGGCATATTCCTGAAGGTCCATTTCCTATTTTAAAAAAAAGGGGTGGAAAGGTATACGTCATGCATCTTAATATTCTTGTTCCTTGGTTTTTCTCCTACTTCAAAGATGGCTCCTCTCTCTCACCAATTCTTCTTTCTCCAATCTTTTCAATCCAGATGTTTCACAAGATTCTCACCGTTGTTTCTCTATTTTCTTTTGAGAAACTCATCTATTCGAAGCTTCAACTTTCTATGCTACTGACTCCCAAAATTAATTCTCTAAACTGGCCTCTTTCCCATGGAATATATCCCACATTCCATATGCTACTTCTTACTCTACCTGACTGACAGTAACTTAAACACAATGTGTTCAAAAGCAAACTCATGAGTCGCTTCATTCAGATGCCCTCTCTCCTTTAAACACCATCCCATCTCCAAGGATGGTATTCGGAAACTCCTAAGTTAAATAAGGTCTGGTTTTAAACCTATTTTGCCCCCTAGTTGTCCTTACTATTCTCACTCCTATACTTTCACCTAAAAGATAAAAGTCTCCTACTACTTCTCCTTCTTAAGATTCACCCACTCCCAAACCATTTCATATACTACATTCAGAAAAGTTTTGGTAACACGTAGTCCTCATCATGTTACTCCTCTATTCCAAAGGCCTCTCTTGCTTCTTTCTGACTATCCTGTGTTTTCTGCATTCTGGTCTCAACCATCTTTTCAGTCCCAATTCCTAATACTGCTTTCCTATGTTTATATGCTTTACATAAAACCAAACTGGATTTGTGGGTCAACTACTTCCATTTTTGTAATAGTTTTAGTCTGGGTTGCCACTTCTTTATTATCTCTATCAAAAATTTAATCCAACTGAGACAACTTAGTAGCCATTTCTTGCCTAATACATTACTCCAAATAAAATATGCTCAAAGACTTAAATAAGAAAAGTAAACCATAAGAATATTAGAAACAGGGTAATATTTCTACTTACACTGATAGAGTGGGAAGACTTTAAGTCTGACAGAAAACTCAAAAGACAGAAGGGAAAATAAACCATTTGACTTCATAAAAATAAAAAACAAATCGTAAATAGGAGGAGTTAGGATCTAGTTTGCTTGAATCAAAAAGAAAGACAAAAGCAATGAAGAAAAATCATATGCTAGTATTAACAGTTGCAGAAAAAGCATTTGACAAAATCTAACACTCATTCAGGATAAAAAAAGAAAAAAACCTCTCAATAAATTAGGAATAGAGGGAAACTTCCTCAACATGATAAAGAGCATCTACAAAAAATCTACAGCTGGCCAGGCACGGTGGCTCACGCCTGTAATCCAAGCACTCTGGGAGGCCGAGGCGGGCATATTGCTTGAGCTCAGGAGTTCGAGACCAGCCTGAGCAAGAGCGAGACCCTGTCTCTACTAAAAATAGAAAGAAATTAATCGGACAACTAGTTTGATGCCTGTAGTCCCAGCTACTCGGGAGGCTGAGGCAGAAGGATTGCTTGAGCCCAGGAGTTTGAGGTTGCTGTGAGCTGGGCTGACGCCACGGCACTCTAGCCCGGGCAAAACAGTGAGACTCTGTCTCAAAAAAAAAAACAAAAAAAACCTACCGCTAACATCATACTCAATAGTGAGAAACTAGATGCTTTCCCTCTAAGATGGGGAACAAGTGAGGGAAGCACCTCTCACTATTCGTACTCAACACCATAATGGAAGTCCTAGCTAATGCAATAAGAAAAAAAAAAAAAAGATACACACATTGGGAAGGAAGAAATGAAACCACCTTTGTTTGCTAATGACATGATCGTCTACGTCAAAAATACCAAAGAATCAACCAAAAAACCTCCTGGATCTGAAAAACAATTAGAGCAAGATTGCAGGATACAGGTCAATATGCAAAAGTCAACTGCTTTCCTATATACCAGCAATATATACCAGCAATGAACAAGCTGAATTTGAAATTAAAAATACAACATCATTTACATTTGTACCAAATACCTAGGTATAAATCTAACAAAAAATGTACAAGATCTATATGAGGAAAACCACAAAATGCTGATAAAAGAAATTAAAGAAAAATGACATAAATAGAAAGATATTCCAAGTTTATGGATAGGAAGACTCAGTACTATTGAGATGTCACTTCTTCCCAACTTGAGGTATAGATTCAACACAATCCCAATAAAAAAGTCCCAGCAAGTTAGTTTGTAGATATTGACAAATTGATTTTAAAGTTTATATAGAAAGGCAAAAGACCCAAAATAGCTAACACAAATTAAAGAAAACAAAGGCAGAGGACTAGACACTACCCAACTTCAAGTCTTACTATAATGCTACAATAAACAAGACAGTATGGAATTAATGAACCAATAGAAAAATAGATAAATGGCACAAAAATAGAGTACACAGATGTAGACCCACATAAATACAGTCAACTGATCTTGGACAAAGGAGCAAAGGCAAGCCAATGGAGAAAAGGCAGTCTTTTAACAAATGGCACTGGAACAACTGGACATCCTCTTGCAAAAATATAAATCTAGATACTAAACTTACATCTTTCATGACAATTAACTCAAAATGGATCATAGACCTAAATGTGAAATGCAAACTGTAAAACTTTTAGAAGATAACTTAGGAGAAAACCTAGGTGATCTTGGGTCTGCTAATGAGTTTTAGATACAACACCAAAAGCAGAATACATGAAAAAAAAATTCCTAAGTAGGACATCATTAAAATTTTAAATTTCCACTCTGCAAAAGATACTAAGAGAATGAAAAGACAAGTCATAGACTGAAAGAAAATATTTGCAAAACACATACATAATAAAGTACTTGTATACAAAATATACAGAGAACTCTTAAAACTCAACAATAACAAAACAACCCAATTAAAAACTAGGCAAAAGATCTGATCAGATACCTCACCAAAGATAACAGAGACAGCAAATGAGAATATGAAAAGATGCTAAACATCATACATCATTATGGAATTGCAAATTAAAACAATGAGATGTCAGTACATACCTATTAGAATGGCTAAAATCCAAAACACAGACCACACCAAATTCTGACCAGGACGTGGAACAACAGGAATTCTCATTCATTGCTACTGGGAATGCAAAATTATCTAGCCACCTTGCAAGACAGTTTGGCAGTTTCTTACAAAAATAAAGTCTTACCATATGATCCAGCAATTACACTCCCAGGTATTTGTTCAAATGAGTTGAAAATTTATGTTTGTGCAAAAACCTGCATATGAATGTTTATAGCAACTTTATTCATAATTGTCAAAAATTGGAAGCAACCAAGATGTCCTTCAAAAGGTGAATGAGTAAACAAACTGGTACATCCATACAATGTAATATTATTCAATGATAAAAGGAAATGAGCTATTAAGCCACAAAGAGACATAGAGGAACCATAAATGCATATTGCTAAGTGAAAGAAGTCAGTGGAAAAGTTTACGTACTGCATGACTCTATTATATGACATGCTGGGAAAGGCAAAACTATAAAGATAGTGGTAGAAAGATAAGTACTTCCTAAAGGTTGAAGGTTGCTAGGGGTTGAAGGTTGAAGGAAGGTATGAACAGGTAGAACACAGACTCGTAGAGCAGTGAAAGTATTTTGTATGATACTGTAATGGTGGATACATGACATACACACTCAGTAAAATCTACAGAACTGTATCTTACAAAGAGTGAACCCTAAACTACAGCTTTTAGTTAATAATAATATACCAATATTGATTCATCAACTGTAATAAACATACCATACCAATGCAAGCTGTTAATTTTAGTAACAGGGTAACCTAAGGAGAGGACGAACAAATGGGAACTCTTTCTATTTTCTGTTCAATGTCCCCGTAAACCTAAACTGTTGTGAAAAATAAAGCCTATTAATAATAAATAAGTAAATGACAAATGGGGGAGTCAGGATCTGAGGCAAACAGCTAAGTTCCTGGACCCAGAAAGATGCAATACACAAAAGACCATAAGCAAAGAATACAAACAGGCAGTTCACAGAAAGATGTCCCAGTCCTAACCCCCAGAACCTGCCAATGCTATCTTGTACAGCAAAAGGACTTTGGTAGATGTGATTAAGGACCTTGAGATGGGCAGTAGCCTGGATTATCCAGGTGGATCCAATCTAATCATGACTCCTTAAAAACAGAAAACCTTTCCCAGCTGTGGTGAAAGAGAGACATGACTATGAAAGAAGGTTAAGAAAGAAACATTGCTGGTTTTGAAGATGTAGAAGGGAGCCAGAAGCCAAGAAATGTTAATAGTCTCTAGAAATTTGAAAAAGCAAGGAGATATTCTTCCCTAGAGCCTCCAGAAAGTAACACAGCTCTGCCAACACCTGATGTTAGCCCACTAAGACCTGTGTTGAATTTCTGACCTACAGAACAGTAAGATAATACATTTATATTATTTAAAGCCACTAGGTTTCTTTTGTGGTAATTTGTTACAACAGCAACAGAAAACCAATACATATATTAGGGAAATTATCTTTTTATCTATCATCAGGTTAAGCTACCCATGAGCTGGCTGAGGCAAAACAGGGATAGATAGTCTTGGGAGAAGTGAGATGGGCAGGTGCAGATGAAGGTATTTTTTCCTTTTCTGACCATCCCATAGCTTAGCCAGCCTAAGAAGATAGTGTTCTTTACTCATTCTAAGATACCCAGGACAGAAAACCAAGGTTGGAAATACAGGAAAAAATGAAACACAATGTATGGTCCCTTAGATCTATCTCGGATGGGAACTACTACAAAAACTGTCTCTATTATATCCTCTAGAGGAGAACCTAGAAGAACAATTTTGTTCTCCTTTCTTTCCTTCCATTGTAGCATTTCCCATATGCCAGTCAAAGGACATGAATTTTCTTTCTTTCTTCCTACTAACTTTGAAACAAACTATCAAAGAAATTCAGGAAGTCATATGTCACCAAGGCATCTACATCCCATAATTCTCTCCTTTGGTTTAGCTGCACACTATGATACTTGTTTGACTACCTTGAGTTTTCACATTAGATGGAAAATATACATGACAAGTAATTAAATGCATGCAATAAATCTAAATTATAAAAATTTATAATTCTGAATTAGGTTGTATTAATAGTTTAATTTTTAATATTTTATATGCCTATCTGTTGAGGTGGTACAAAGGATATATAAAAGTAATGTTACAAGGTAATTATAAACATTACTGCAGAGTACTATAATGTCATTGCTAATTGAGCACTGGTTACTAGCTTGCACAAGTCACTCAAGTTAGTTTCTGAGTTAGTTTCTCTGTCTGTATGTGCCCTACTAACATCAGAAGGCTACTGAGTTGTAAGGTATAATCCAATAATATACACAGAATTCTCTGTACAAAGCCCTAATAATATTGGTTATCATCACTACCACAAAACTGTCATATAGTTAACACAACTGATAGGCAATATTTTAAAATAATGTAGTAATATCAGCCCTTCAATGAAAAAATAATTGCATTTTAACATGGACTCTAACATCAGATAAAGCAATTACGTACTCCAATGATTTGGTTATCAGTTATTTTAGCAAATATTTTAGCAAGCAATTTAAGAATACTTTTCAATACAATCTCAAGAACTTGCACTATCTACCTATAGATTTATGAAAGTAGTAAGCGTCATACTGTAATTTTAAGAGATAAAAATGCAATAACTTACCTATTATTACCACAGGCAAAGTCACTGATGAATCTTCAAGTAAAGATATTTCTTCAACTAATGGCATAGCTTTAACTTTTCGCCCCAAATTATCACCAAAATATTGCACTAAAGAATTAAAAATCTCTCCTTCAGTTTCAGTGTCACTATAGTTTCTTTAAAGAAAAAATAAAAAGAACGAAAACGAGATACAGTCAATATAGAATTTATAGTCTTTACTCAGATTTTATTTAAGCCTGAATGTATTTAACAGTTTCACAGGAGAAAAGGAAATTGTTCTGATTAATGCTTTTAAATTAGTAGCTCAGCTACATGTCAACCTGTACCACTTTGAAGACCCAAAATCCTAAATAGCTGCTTATCTCTCATTAGTATCTTGTAGACAACTCCCTACTAAATAAGCAGCTCTCCTTAATGACCAAAAACAGTATTGTATTGG